GTCACAGAAGAAGCAAAGAAAGTGGGAAGAGGCTTTTGAAAAGCTTTTGAGAGCATGAGAACAGAGAAAATAAATAAAGCAAAGAACCTTGCAGAAGGAATGACTCAGCTGTTCAGAATGGAGGTCTCAGAAAAAGAGGCAAGCCCAGATCTGCCTACTCATCTAGCAGGATGGAAGGGGTCACTGATATATAGCGGATTGATAAGAGGCCCAGTCTAACAGTCTTGGTGGCAGTCAAGAGGAACAAAAAGGAGAAGTACAGGAAAAAAAAATACATCTGTAGTATGATTGCACAAATTTGTTGGAGAAATCATTCAAGTCTCTCTACCACCAAGCAGCCAAAAACTTTTTGTTGAGGTCTTCATTCCTAGAGTTAAGTTCCAAACTGGAGGCTTAAGATTATTATTAGTATTTGAAGGAAGCAGAAATATCATAAGGGTGATTTTATAATAAACTGCCACTTAGGAATTTAACACAGGGCCTTCAAAGCACTTTTAGGCTCTCAGGTGGCAATCTAAATGAAAAAGCAAGAACTTTTAATTTTTTTATTACAATATTAGCACTCCTAGGATTCTTTAATCTTTCCTACCTGCAGAGAATAAAGCTACAGGTATGGTTTTACTGCAAGAACAAACAGCAGATTCCAGTGCTGTGTTTTGTCACATTTTCAGTGGTTCATTTAATGCAGTTATCTCCATACAGTTTCTATTAACTTTTTATTTCTTTAAGATAAGGCCTTGCTCTGTCATCCACGCTGGAGTGCAGTGGTGTGATCATAGCTCACTGCAGTATTGAATTGCTTGGCTAAAGTGATCCTCCCACATCAGCCTCCTGAGTAGCTAGAAGTACTGGTGTGTGCCACCACACTATGCTAATTTAAACAGATTCTGTAGAGATGGGGTCTTGCTATGTTGTCCAGCTTGAACTGATGAGCTTAAGTGATCCTCCCACCTCGGCCTCCCAAAGAGCTGGGATTATAGGCATGAGCTACGATACCCAGCCTCAGTATGTTTTTTTGATGCAGTCAGAATTCCTTGGGGGTTTTTAGGTTACCAGAAATGGCCAATGATTAGGTAAGAAGATGGCTACTGAAACCATTCAATATTTCATCAGGCCGGGCATGGTGGCTCATGTCTGTAATCCCAGCACTTAGGGAGGCCAAGGTGGGCAGATCACGAGGTCAGGAGTTCGAGACCAGTCTGGTCAATATAGTGAAACCCTGTCTCTACTAAAAATACAAAAATTAGCTGGGAGTGGTGGTGGGCGCCTGTAGTCCCAGCTACTCAGGAGGCTGAGGCAGGAGAATAGTTTGAACCCAGGAGGCAGAGGTTGCAGTGAGCTGAGATTGTGCCACTGCACTCCAGGCTGAGTGACAGAGTGAGACTCTGTCTCAAAAAAAAAAAAAAAGAGATTTCAGCCCAGTTACAAATTAGGTGTTGAAGAACCACACCTTGCATATTACCTGCTGCAAGGCTCTGACATGTTACAAACAAACCATCTAGACCACTCAGTATCAATGAAAAGAATTCCCTAGCATGTGTGGAAACTTAAACCGAAGGAAGAGCATTAAAGCAGATTGTTTTCCACTTAATCCTAAAGAAAACCCACAACATCCAGCAGTGACATGTAGAATTCTTTTTTCTTTTTTTGAGATGGAGTCTCACTTTGTTGCCCAGGCTAGAGTGCAGTGGTGTGATTTTGGCTCACTGCAACCTCTTCCTCCTGGGTTCAGGCAGTTCTGCCTCAGCCTCTTGAGCAGCTAGGATTACAGGCATGTGCCACCATGCCCGGCTTTTTTTTTTCTGCCCCACCACCCCTAACTTTTGTATTTTTAATAGAGATGGGGTTTTGCCATGTTGGCCAAGCTGGTCTTGAACTCCTGACCTCAGGTGATCTATCCACCTCAGCCTCCCAAAGTGCTAGGATTCCAGGTGTGAGTGACCCACCATGCCCGGCCTATAATTCTTGGGTATCCAAACTATTACCAATGAATAAAACTTTAGGTTTCTTCTCCCATATTTACTCCTGTGTCTCTTCTCTCTAGATGTAAACTTATGCAGGCAGAAGCCTCTGGGATTCTATACTGACTGGAATCATTCACTGCTTCCTTCTTATTGTGAGTCCCTCATCCATCATAATGCTCCCTGGATCATGCTAATAAATGTCTGGTGACTTGGGATGGGCAGAAATTCTACAGAGGTTTCCTTGCCTGAGCCTTTCAAGGGCTAAGACTCAAAGTAAAATGTTCAACTGCCTAAAGCAATAAACACTAAAAGAGGTTAAATTGTGTATTTGCTTTTCCTTTATCTAGCAGTGGACAACTAATGAACCCAATAATCAGACAACATCTGAGTTAGAAAATTTAGAACTGGAAATTGACCTTAAGGATAACATAATTCAATTCCTTTACCCTTCAGTGAAAAAACAACTTCCTCTTACAGGAATTGCTCCTAGTTTTCCCGCTCATGGTCTGGAATGTTTATCCCAAGAAGGAGTGAGCTTTTTAAAAACGGAGCATGCTGGAAAGAGGATGCTCAGATCATGGCTGACTGGACTTGCAGGAACCTCACTTGGAGATGGTTTCTACGGTGGTTCTACTGTGGTTTCAGTTAGGCTACAAGGAGAGTTGAGCCATTTAGATGGTCATCCATTCATGGGTACAGTTTTATTTTATGACTGCTCCAAGCCTCTTAAGACACTTCATAGTGTCTTAGTTATTCTTTCCTGGGTTTGGTGCTTCTCTCTGAAAATAGGATTACACATTCTTTTCCTGTTAAACTACAGGCTGACCATGTGACCTGCTTTAGTAAAATCTGAGTAGCCAAGCAGAAAAATGTTAAAAATTGTGTCCATGTCCTCTTTTTTCTCTTTGAGATTCACAATGTTCCAGATATGAGCTGCTTCACCAACTGGGATCCCTGAATGCAGATGTTCTAGAACAAAGAGCTACAACTGGCTCCTGATGGATACATAGTATGAAAGAGATATAAAACTTTGTTTTGGGCTGGGCATGGTGGCTCACGCCTATAATCCCAGCACTTTGGGAGGCAGAGGCAGGTGGATCACCTGAGGTCAGAAGTTTGAGACCAGTCTGGCAAACATGGTGAAACCCTGTCTCTACTAAAAATAAAATTTAAAACATTGCTGGGCATGGTGGTGCATACCTGTAATCCCAGCTACCTGGGAAGCTGAGGCAGGAGAATCGCTTGAACCCAGGAGATGTAGGCTGCAGTGAGCTAAGATCGTGCCACTGCACTCCAGCCTGGGTGATGAGCAAAACTCCGTCTCAAAACAAAACAAAACAAAAATAACTTTATTTTTGTGGGCCTTTCAGATTTGGGGTCACTGTCACCACGGCATAACTTAGCCTCTCCTGACTGAAATATCCCCCTTCCTAAGTGAACCAAAAAAGTATAAAAAGTGGCCAGGTGTGGCAACTCATACCTGTTAACCCCAGCATTTTAGAAAGCAAAGGTGATGGATCACCTGAGGTCAGGAGTTCCAGATCAGCCTGGCCAATATGGTGAAACCCCACTTCTACTAAAAATACAAAAAGTAGCAGGGCATGGTGGTCCACACCTGAAATCCCAGCTACTCAGGAGGCTGAGGCAGAAGAATCACTTAAAACCAGGAGGCAGAGGTTGCAGTGAGCTGAGATGGTGCTGCTGTACTCCAGCCTGGGCAACATAGTAAGACTCTGTCTC